CCTCTCTTCTTATCAGCTGGACGCTTCACTCTCCACTCTAGAAGGACATAGTATTTTGACAAGTGCTCTCATCTATGAGAGAAGAGAACCCCACTCAGGATGGAATCATCAGCAAAAGGATCTAAGAGCTACCAGCAAAGCTGGGCAAAAGCCCCTCAGGCCCCAGTTTTTGGTGAATACAGTAAGTCCCACAAGAACTGATTGAAGAGCCTTGGAAAGATCAAACATAATAGGGCTGCTAAGCCCCCTGTTGTTGTTGGTAAGTACCAGCAAGTCAGTTCAGACTGTTAGTGACCCTGTATAGGTTTTCTGAAAGGCAGCTGGTGGGTTTGAACTGCCAACTTTGTGGTTCACAGTCCAGTGCTGATCCTACAAGCACCACACCAGAAGGGTCTCAGAAATCGCCAGTAAGAACTACCTTCCAATCTAGAACAGAGACCTATCCTAAGTAGGTGTATGGGTGTGGGGGTCATTTCTGCAATAACAGAGGTAGGACCCCTTAGACTGTGAAGGTAGGACAGCTACCCAGACTTGCCTTATCCCCTCCACAGGAATATCCTCCTTAAAGTCCATTTCTTTTAAATACAAACAGCAACCAAAAAAGATATCAGAAAAGGAAAATGAAAAATAATGTACCAATAAGATCAGGAAGGCTTATTGGAAAATTATGGTCACAAAGCAAATGAAAACTACAACCTAGTTTTATAAAATAAGTAAAAAGATTTAGAAAACTAGAAGCCGTGATAGAGCAGCATATACCATAAATAGGCAGTAAAACTATAATTACATACCATTACAAAATTATTATATGAAGGAAGAGCCCTGGTGTGGTGCTGTACGGTAAGCACTGGATTACTAATCTCAAGGTCTGCAGTTCAAACCCACCAGCCGCTCCTCAAAAACCATATACAGTGTCTCTATGAGTCAGAATCACAACCATATGCACAACCTTGTTTGCTGAAAATAAAAAAGACTTGAAGCACTTAATTATAAGCAACAACTACAACTTTCAATATAGATTACAACTCAAAGGAAAAATATCCTCACAACTGGCCAGTAAACAACATCATGATAAACGGGGAAAGGGTTGAAGTAGTCAAGGGTTTCATTTTACT